TGCATATATAAAAGATAACTTATGAGCCATACAAATATACATAAATTATGTTTTCTAGTTAGATTGTACAACAAAACACAATTGTTAACTACCTTTACATCAAGATTCTTTCAAAGCATTTGGAACAATTTTGCCTATTGTATAGAGTGAATGACTGCTGTTTGTGATTACCTCAGAAGCTTGAAGAATGGAATTCTTTTCTTTCTTATTGATCATTTACTTAGGTTTTATAGCCATTTGTTAACACCATTAGTTTTTGGTTTAAAATCTGTCATCACTGAAAAAATCATGGTTATAATAAGAAGTTGGCTTCATAAAATTTTAGACTATTAGAGGCCTTTTGATAACTAATTTTGTACCTTCTGTTTAGTCATGAAGACACTGAGGTCAGAGAGAGAAACTCACTTAACCAAGTGTTTCTGGAGAGCAGAAGTAAAACCAGACCCACATATTCATCCTATACTATGTAGCTTTGCTACTGTACATTAGACTTGTTTCTTTTAAATATGCTCATATAATTGGATTAAACAAAAGGGAATGTAGGAAAGGGAGGGGATGTGAATAGAAAAGATAGTAGAATGAAGAGGATATAACTTTCCTATGTTCATATTTGAATACATGACCAGTGAAACTCCACATCATGTCCAACTGCAAGAACAGGATCCTATTTAGAATAAGTTATGCTCTATGTATGTATAATATGTCAAAATATACTCTACTGTCATGTATACCTAAAAAGAACAAATTTTTTAAAATATGCACATTTTTCTAATTCTGAGTAGACATCTCATTTATCATATGTTTCAAAACAATAACCTGGGGGCTGGGGATGTGGCTCAAGCGGTAGCGCGCTCGCCTGGCATGCGTGCAGCCCGGGTTCGATCCTCAGCACCACATACCAACAAAGATGTTGTGTCCGCCGAGAACTAAAAAATAAACATTAAAAAAAAAAAACAAAAAACTTCTCTCTCTATCTCTCTCTCTCTCCTCTCTCACTCTCTCTTAAAAAAAAAAAAAAAAACAACCTGTGGTATAGATCAGTATTCCAAACCAGGTTTTGGAGATCTGAAAATATGTTATTATTTCTAGCTTTGTGTTAAGTGATTTCTGACTTCTCCCTTTCAGATCCTCTTTTTTTTTCTTATGATGCTGATTGTAACTGACATTCCATTCATCAAAGTTTTTCAAGGATTACTCTTACATTTAGGAAATAAGCTTATTTTGAACTAATGTTTCTTAAATGCCTGTACAAAATCTAAGTGTATTATCAGTATAGGAATTTTGATAGAGAATATATTGTGTTATATTTCTTTAGCCCAGTAAGCCTTTAAGTGCTTTCTAAACGAAGTAAAAGGAGCATGGTTTATAAAAGGTAGAGTTAAGATTTAATTTTTGTGTCAGTTATAAGATCGCATGACACCTGTGGGAAATGTTTCCTCTTCTGCTGCATATGCCACAGTCTTAGTAATAATTGTCAGTTGGTGTTAATGAAATGTAACACTTTTAGGAATGTGTTTGCCCATCTGATCTAATTTGTGCTTGTTGTTTGCCTTTGAGCAAATCAAGTCTGTGGAGATGACACAGGATGCAAAGAAGTATTTCACATAGAGAGTTAATGTTATTCAAAACATGACAATATATTCTCCAGGTTTAGTTTTGAATTTACCATGGGCCCAAGGTGTTCAGACTTTTTGCTCATGTACCCCTTGAATACTTTTAAGTTCACATATACAATTTTTCTTCAGAAGGCTCAAATAACTGCAGAGTATAATTGCAGAGTATAAATTTATACATAAATTCTAACATTATAAATATTTATTTGTAGTAGTAAAACTATAATGTTCTTTTAAATGGATTCATGGAATCTGAGTAGCAAGGTTATTTGATACCCACAACAATCAATTTAAAAAAAATAAAAGGAGTTTTAGAAACTATTTGGTGTAGTAAGTTTTTAAATATTAAAAATTTTGGATCATATAATTATTATTTGCAAAAATAATCAATGTCATAATGTATTACATTTTTATAAATATTCAACACCAAAAGTAAAATTTGTTGATGTATTATTTCTTAATGAAGTGGAAAGAGGTGAAGTTCAACATCTGGAAAATGATTCCCTTGTAGTTATTATACCTTGCCAAAAGTCCTTGTGTATTCCTGTGCACATGCCAGTTTGAAGACTGCTGACTTAAATGACTGGCTCTGCCTTCTGTAGGCCATTATGACAATCACAAATGTCTTTTAGTGTCCAAGGACAGGCACTCTGCAGACTGACCACCTGGGCTTGAATTCCAGCTCTTAGTCCCAGCTCGTTCTTTTATTAATTTCATGACTTTGGGAAATCTCCTGCACTCCGTTGTGCATCTGTTTTCTCACCTATAGAACTATGATAAATGCTGTTGCACAAGTGAAATGAAATCCCACTTATAACATGCTTAAATAGTGTAGAATAGTTACACATGTCTGTTAGCAATATGGTCAATTCTTCAAATTCTTTTGAGCATTTTACAGGTATATCTTATTTATCTATGAATATTTCTCAGGCATATTTGATTTGAGATTGATCTTTTGGTAATTTCCTTGTGTCTATCCTGGTAGATAATATTCTACATTTCTTGTAAGAAAGTAGTCGGATCTTCCTCACGCATGTGTATGTATAGATGATTTATGTTGCATGCATGTCTGTTCAAGCATGTGAGTATGTAATGCTTTTCCATAACAAGGATCCAAATTATCATTAGCACCAAACACTTACTGAACACCCACTATAAATAAAAGTTCTATTTGGCAGAACAAGAAAATTGGTCCTTACAGCTTGCTGCTGAAAAGGATTTACAAAGATTAATAGTCCAATTTTCAAAATAATCTTAAAGATAACACAGTCCATAATCTATGATTTGAAAATAACGAAAATGGGTTCAGAGCAACCTGTAAAAGGATGTGACAGGTAATGGGAAAATGAGAAAGTGTATTGAGGAAAATATAGTTGTTTATGCCTTAAATGTTATAGATCAACTGATAATGTAGCATCTAAGTGGAGTCAAAGTACAGACATTAAAATTCAGGTTATGAATGTCTTTGTCTTTTTAAGAATTGCTATGAAATTAATTAAGTACAAGTTGTTAATCTGACTTGAATACTAGAAACTTTTGTAAGCATTACTTGAACCGAACTGTTACATTGTTGGGAAACAAGAATATACTCAACATTATTTTACTTCTTTAAAATTCATATCTTGTTTAATGGAGCCAATAATTTAGCCACTAAGTTACTTTTCAAAATATACTATCTTGTTTGCATTCATCTGCATCTGCTTTTTCCCTAGTTAATATTGATTAAATACAGAAAAACTGGAAAATTGAGAACTTTGACATGAGCATTGTGAGACTGATGAGAGGGACAGAATAGTCATTCTCACATATATTATCAGGAATTTCTGACCTTTGTAATTGTATACCCTGTTAATTTCATGATTATCTATGAAATTTAAACCCCCTACCCACCAACATGAAACAGGATTCAAAAAATTTAATTAATAAGAATATTGTTGTGAAGTTTATTTTACTTTTGAAATAATATACATCTTAAAATAGTCCAGAACTTGGGTGGGGGTTGTGGTTCAGTGGCAGAGCACTTGCCTAGCATGTGTGAGGCAATGGGTTTGATTTTCAGCACCATGTATCAATAAATAAAATAAAGGTCCATTGACAACTAAAAATTATTTTAAAACATCCCAGAATCTATGTGAATCATTGTTAAATTCATGTAAAAATAATCCTTAATTAAGGTAAATGTTTTATTAAACCATAAATAATTCAGCAACTATCTGAATATCACATTGCTTGATGAGCTGGGTGGAAGGGGGACTACAAAATTCAATTTTAGCTCATATAGTTACTAAAAATCCCTGTTTATTATTAGATATTATAGATAAGTTAAATATGAAATGAATTTGATAATAAGACTCCTATTCTGATATTGGCTTCCATGATAAAATTTGAACCATCTTTACCAGGAATAAAAATTTCTTTTACTCTTGGAGAAAAGGTGGCTATACCTTTCTATTGGTGGAATAGGAATTTCTTAGCATTCTGTCTTCTAGAATATATTCTTTCTGCCATTATTTTATCCTACCCCAAGCAAGCCCTTTCCAAAAGAGATCTCATTTAGAGATCTCTTTAATCAGTCCTTTCTTCCAGTATATAGAAATCTTATCCAACTTTGTGCATATACCTTTAGATGTTCTAACTGAATTTAGCTACAGTTTTTTGTTTCTATGAAGAGTCTTTTTTTGTATGATATTCTCTAACCTGATCATTCTTCAAGGTCCAGGTTCCATGAATTTATAAATGCAAAAGAAAAGTGATTTGTGATTCCTAAAAATATATGTGCTGTTTTCATCTATGCCTTTTCATATGTGTATGAAAGTATATGTGTGTATGACAAGTATATGTGTGTATGTGTGTGTATGATGCAAAGTAAGCCAATAATGTTCTCCCTAAAATTTTTTGAAAACACTATAATAAACATTTGATTTGTTTTTAATTATCAGTAAACTCTGTATAAATGGATTCTTTTGTCTTAAGGATAGAAAGTGTGTTTTCTTAGATAAATTAATGTTTTATTTTTGGTCTTTTTGTTCCAATTATTTTGTTTCTTTATCCATCGTTTTTATGAATTTTATAAGGATAATTTAGGCACTTTTCTGTGAATGTTATTTCCTAAACTTTTTTACTGTTTACAAAATTAACCTCAACTTCTACTTCTCCTTAAATCTTAGTGTGATTTTTCAATCTATTACTTAATACATATTTTATTAATATATGTAGCATAATATCATGCATTTTATGTCTCCTTATCACTAGATTATCAGCTTATTGCAGGTAGGAACCTTAACTTTTATTCAGCTCCCTGTTATCCATGATACCAGCATGTGGCCTTGAATATGAATGCAATGGAGTATGATAAACAGTAAGTCAAAATATTATTTTTCTTTACAGATTTGGTTCATTTGACTTGTACATCTTCTAAAACAGCAAGAGAAGATTTAGAAGCAGTTGTGGAGAAATTGTTTACTCCATATACAGAAACAGGGATAGGTAAGAAAAATAAACCATTATTTATGATAGATAAAGTAACTATAATACTCCTCTTAGATATCTCACGAAGCCTTTTTTTATAAATATTTTTTAGTTGTAGTTGACACAATACCTTTATTTTATTTATTTATTTTATGTGATGCTGAGGGTTGAACCCAGGGCCTCGTACTCTACTACTGAGCCACAACCCCAGCTCATCTCATGAAGGCTTTTACAACCTGAACTGAAATATGATGTATTCAGCAACAACTCTCACATGTTTTACTAAGAGATTTGAATACATTGTCTTCTTAAACATGGGGAAATAGTTAATGGAAAAATGTTAATGGAAAAATGTACATTACAAACATACACAAAAATATATATAATTAAATGCCAATGTATACTTTACATGCATACATTCTCACATGCATGAAAAAGACTATCAGGAAATTTCTCAAGTAATTTTGGTAGAATTATGGGCAATTTTTTTATAATTTTCTTTTTATTAGTTTTTTTTTAAAGAGCACATATTCCTTTGTCAGGAAAAGTTATCTTCTTTGATGTTGATTCAACTGACAGAAGATTCATATATTAATTGGCAAACATAGACCTCCATCCTAATTAATAATTTTCTTTTACTGCACAGCATGCTACTGATGTGATGAATATTTAGTCCTCAAATGTGTACATACTTCTTTTTTCTAAATTTTTTAATTTTTTTTGAGTTATAGTTGGACACAATATCTTTATTTTTATGTGGTGCTGGGGATCGAACCCAGGGACTCTCATGTGCTAGGCGAGCGCTTTACTGCTGAGCCACAACCCCAGCCCACATACTTCTTATTTATTGTGAAAAAATGTTTTTTCACCATGATTTTAAAACTTTTTTCTCCCCATAATAGAGTCTAACTGTTGTAGTGTGAATGGAGGAAATGTTGCATATTTTGTGTGTAAGTGATCAAAAAGTAGCCTGATGAATGTTCTTCATTTATATGAAAGAAAGGCTATTTTCATTATAGTGTTTGTATTCCAACCTGAGTCTTGCTCACTTTCTTCAATTAATTCATATATCATTTTCTTTGAATGTTACATTTGTACACACACTCATTTTTTACTCCTATATGTTCTTTTTTGTTTTAGCTTATCTCCTGTGTATGTTGCTTTTCTTAATGCAGACATGGAATCTTAACTTTTATTCAGCTCCCTATTTATTCAGCAAGGAATGTTTATATTTACATAAGAAAACAAACTGTTCCATTTTCAGGAACTTGTATTAATATAATTAAATTCTTTGTGTGCTTCTTGAATAATGTCCTCCAATCTAAAAACTTTAGAATTTAATTTATTTCTTATTTTCTTCATCTGAAAATATCATATAAATATTTGGTTCATTGTTAAAAGTTTGATTTTAGAGTTATGATACATGGTAATATTCCTAAACATAATATGGAGTTAAAATTTATCTTTTGATTCTAACTACATCTGCCCCTTACTTACAAAAACCCTTTCTTTGTCATTTCTAAAATTTTTCATGTTTCTGTTGTACTTTCATTCAATGATACTGTCAAATAGAACAGTAAATTTGAACCTTGTATCATTTCTCTTCTTAAATACATTTAATTTTTTGTTTAAAAAATCAAGTTGGGGAACATTATTTGTTCTTTACATAGCATCCTCTGGCCATTTTAGATTTTTGAACATTAATCTTAATGGTTAAAGTGATCCCGTTTTGAAATGATGTATTGTTTAGAAGCTGAGTGAAATTCTTTAGTAAGAACTATGTGCTCAGAGAGGTCCTCAGGTGCACCGAGGCACTGAAAAGCTAGTTTTCACTGACACATAGGCCTTTTTATCATCAGGATGAGGTAGTGGTCATATTTTAATTAAAATGTCAGAACAAATACTGTTGGAGTTATTGAAAATGAATCACCAGATAAAGTGAGCACTGGGCCATGGCAGGTCAAAGAGGCAAAGTCACCTGCAGAAGAGAACTCAATTCATTTTCCTGCCTAAATGAGGAAGAATGAACTTTATGAGCAATATGAACTTTTAATGCATTAAAGCACATTCTTCCCTGTAGCAAAATCCCATATTTTCACAGATTGATAGCTTTTATTATGTTTTGATTATTTGACAATCATGTGAAACCTTATGCTTTAGAGTATTGTAAATATTTTATGTTAAAATATAGACAAAAGGAATAACATTATTTGGCCTTATTTCGTTTTATTTTTCTCTGAGTTCTACATTCTGTATGGTGCTGTGCATTGTAATCCTTTGTGAAAGTCAGTTTGGACACCTTGCAGGGAAGATCATTTCTTGGAAAAGATAATATTCTCTTTTCAAATACAGTATTTCTTTGGCAATGTTTCTGAAAAATTCCAGTAGAGTTCTGTAGGTATTCCCTCTCTTTCTTGCCTTTTCACTTTATACCTGTCAGCCAAGGCCCTTGAGATAAACTCTGGCTCAATACTTTCAAGAGCCCTATTTGCTAACCTTCTGTAACAACATCAGGAATCTTGAAACCCTTCCCTGCTTTTTATTTTCTTTATCCATATTTTTATTGGTTAATTATATTTGTACGAAATAATGGGGTATGCTGTTGCATAGTTCTGCATGCACTCACCCTTCTCTAATTCTTAGTCCCAAAAAGTATACCAAATGCTTTTTGCTTAATTAACCTGATTCTGCAGGTGAGAAAATGGGATGATTGTTCACCATTAATTGTACATTAATTCTTCCAGACTATAGAATATCATTCAAAGCACTGAAAGAGAATTAGAAAGTGAACAGTATATACTTACCAGTCTCACTGGTAAAACTATTCTGAGAGTTTTCTTCTTTTTCCAGGAAAATTGATATTTTCAATACACATTAAAGCAAGACTTTCATTCAGTAGTGTATTTTTAAATGTCTAAAATGTAGTGTCATCACTGCACCATCTTCTTTCTCTTTTCCCTCCACTGTACATGGCTTGTGGAGTTACCACATTCCATTTCATTGATTTTTATCTCAAAGAGCAGCACGTTCTGTGAATTCCCCTTATAGGTGTAATTTGAAGTTGGTGACTGATAAGGGGATTTAAGTACTTGTTGGGTTGTGAAAACAAATGTCTTAATTGCATTTTTATATGTGTTCCATTCAGACTCAATCAAGGGCTATTCTGCCAGTGGAAGAAAACAACTTACCTAAAATGGTTGACTTACTCCTTACACATGGTGTGCCGCTGTACATCGTTTCTTGTTTTTATTCAATTTACCAAAGTTATTTTTGTTCTTGCTTTTATTCAAGATTCACTTGATTTTAATTTGTTTAAGATCTATTCTAACTTTCTGATTACTTCTTTAGTCTTTACACTATCTAAATGAATGAAGTGTGCTATTGGAGAAAAACATTTCTGCTACTGGCAACCTATGAAGCATTTCCCAACCAAAGCTCAGCTGCTTTAATATTTTCTGACAATTGTATAGTTCACAACTGCATGTTATTTTTTCCAGCTATCTCTCTGCCTTTCAGCTGACTTCAAAGAAAGATGAAGAAATTATATGTATCTTCGAAGGTTTTAAGGTCAAAGCTTGATAGCTCCCTTATTTCTAGAGCATTTTTCTTCAGCCTGTGTCAACTTTTCCCTCTCTACATGGTTTATTTTCAAAGCCTTAACCTGCGAGATTTCTTTTCCATAATCTATTGGATTATTCATTTCCCCCAAATAATATTCAATAAATACCCTGACCTGAGCTGGAATTTTCATGAAATACAAGATATTCTCTCCTAGCATATGCTTAGAAATGGGCTCGGCAATATAAGAGTTTCCATTCCTTAGCCCATTTCTCCGCAATGCTCCCCAAGTCTGGTTTCATGAATCCTAAGCAGTATTTGTAAGTTTCTTCTCATACGATTTAATGAAACTAAACTCACCAATTTATAAAAAGCTCTGTTTTTAGCTCTGAAATACCAGTCCTATATGTTTTTTGGTTTTGTCAAAAAATAGGTTTTGACATCTAATGTGTGCCTACATAAAGTTAGACTAATAGATGTTTGCATTTCAGTGATACCTAAAAAGATCACTTCTTCTACTCGGTTTATTTATCTTGTCACACTCATAATTGTGGATTATTTAGGATGAACTAGAAAAATAAAAATAACATATTTAATGTTCTTACAGTGCAGATATATTAAATTAAATATAATCAAATCCTACTTATCTTGAATTCGGGAGTAGGGCATTCTTGTTAATTGAATACTGCAGTTAGCTCAAAATTTCTCTACATTGATTAACAATTTAACATTGACAGTAATTATACTTTTAGCACTTTCTTTATGATTCTTAAAGTGCCTCATAGACTTGAGTAATCTTTATAAACATCCATTATTATCATTGTACAGAATTTGAATTTTTATTCAGACTCAGGCTAGAGAAAACTCTATAGTCAATAGATATATTAACAAAATACATTTTCTCCAACCCTGGAAAATTTAATTATAACATTTTTAAAGAATAAAGGCAGAGAAATGATCATCAAGATAGTAACAAATGAGCTTTAAAAATTGAGGTTAACCAGGTTGGGCTTTTAATAAGCACATTGTACTTTAATTATACTTGAAAACGGGGTCAAAATCAATCCAACTCATTTATTGTCTGTTGTGTGCTAGGCTCTGTGTTAGGGAAAATTAAAAAGGAGGAGGGTAAGGACTAATTCTAGCTCATCTGTGTATACCCAGCTCCTATGTCAATGCCTAATATGCAAAATAGACACTTGTATTAACAATGAGAGGCTGTGTGCTTAAAATACTATTCCATTTCATGACCTCATTTTTGTTACTTTTTTGTTGTTGTTAATTTTATGTTCCAATATGGCAAAGTATTAGAATGTGAGTTCTATCAAAATTTTAATCCTGTGCATACCATTGTTAATAATAGATTTATTGTGATATGTGCCATATTATTTACCTATTTAAAGAGTAAAATTCAAGTTTTAAAAATATATTTATAGGAGCTGTAGTAGAGCACTTGCCTCAAGCTTGATAGCAGTAGAGCACTTGCCTAGCTCTTGCAGGGCCCTGGGTTTGATCCTCAGCACCACATAAAAAGAAATAAAGGTATTGTGTCCAACTACAATTAAAAAATAAATATTTTTTAAAAATTTACAGAATTGTCCAAACATCAACATTCAATTTTAGAATGTCCGTTACCCACCTCCCCCAAGAAACTCCATACCTATCAGCATTTGCTCTCCATTTACCTCCGCTTCCTTCAGCCCTAAATAGCCTCTGCTTCCTATTTCTGTGGATTTATTTATTCTGGAGATACTATTAAGTTACTATATAATTTAATTTATAGTTAGATTATATACTTTATATAAGTTAGATTGTCTATTGAAAACGCAAGTCCATTTTTATTATCTTTTCACTTCATAGGGACACTTTAAGGATGAATATGAGCATAAACACTAATGCTAATGAGAAGATATAAGTCCAAAGGAGCATGGCACTATATCAAATTAACTTACTAATCAAAATAATTTTTAAAAATGTAACTTGTCTTAGGTTGAAAAGCCATCATTGCTTGAAATATGCATTTATATAAGAGTTTATACATTTACTAATTGTTTATATACAAAAGTCTGATTTAATACCATGTCTAGTCATGGCCTTCTTGGTGATTGGCTGCATAGTGTAGTAATCAACAGGTGCAATGTGTTTTATAATATAAATAAAATTCATTTTTACATTTAGAAAATGAAGAAGTTGAAAAGCCAAGAATTCTGTGGGCTCTCTATTTCAATATGAGAGATTCTTCCGACATCAACAGGAACTGTTATAATGATTTACCATCCAATGTTTATGTCTGCTCTGGACCAGATGGTGGTTTAGGAAATGATAATGCAGTCAAACAGGTAAGAATGTTGGTATTTCTCAGTTTTGTATTAAGTGAGTTCCCCGCCCCCAAGAAAAGAGACTTGAAATTTAATACCATCAAATTTGGTACCATCATTTAATACCATCTCTGCATTTGAGCCTGGATATTTTTTTGAGATATTTTCTTGCTAAGAGTCTTGAGAGTCTTGCTAAATTACACAGGCTAGCCTCAAACTTGTGATCCTCCTTCCTCAGCCTACCATGTTGCTGAAATTATAGGGGTACATCCCATGGCCAGCTAAACTTTTTTCTATGAACTGCAAAGCAACTTTAAATATAATTTATCAAGTATTTTCACTACATTGAGTATACTGATGAATTATGAGAGGTGATTTATGAGTTCCACTATGGCAATATGGATAGAAGATGTTTAAAATACATGTTCATAAAAATGAATGTAATAGGGGCTGGGGCTGTAGCTCAGTGGTAGAGTGCTTGCCTCACATGTGTGAGGCACTGGGTTTGATCCTCAACATCCCATATTTACAACTAAAAAATATTTTAAAAATGAATTTATAATCTCAGTATTTTAAAAAAATTGTTTCTAATTTAAATAGTTTGTCCATCAGTCTGTTATTTTGAAATACGTAAGCATTTTTTCCTGTCTTTTCAAGAAAGATATAGCTAGTAAAAGCAAACAACATGTAATTTTACAGTGGTCTTAATGCAGTTTTTTTAATCTTGGAAAAGAATGATAACATGCCTTCTTACTGTATTACTACATTGACACAAGCCATTGTCTCGAGACCTACTATTATAGCTGCTGAGGAGTATGGTAAGTACCAGTGGAAGTTAATCATAGTGCTCCTGGGCAAGGCTATGAAGAGGTACAGGCTGAGACAAGCTGCCAAAAGTGAACTATAGAAAATTCATTTGCCTAAACCAATACACTTGTCTGCCTTTGACAGGAAAGAAAAAATAAACAAATATTTTTTCAGGCACAAGTCTAAACTTTTCTCAGAAAGATTTGGCACATCTTTCTATTAATAAATGGATAATTTAACATTGTTTTGAGACCAGATATGGCAGGGATCTAATTTCATTCCCACCAGTAGCAGGAGTATTTAGTAGCCAGTGGCCTCATTGAGCATGTAGTCTAATTTTTAGTCATAGCAGCAAGGCTGTGAAAAATGACCACAATTCAGACATTTATAGTTTTTTGCAAAAAAATATTTGTGCCTCACCTTTAGAGTCTAATGGTAATGTTGGAAAATCATATTTAGCCAGTAATGTCAAACAAAAATCAGGAAGTCACAACTCTCTTCTTTGTATTTTAATACTATAATAGGAATTTAAGATGGCTCAATATCTACATTTGTAGTATAACTGATCAAGTAGTTTTTACTTTGGTGGTCCAATTTATTGCAAGCAGATATTGCCAATAAGTTTTTAACCAGGTTACTTAGGTTGTTTTTACCCTTGAATAAACTTTAATTTTGGAGGGTAGTGATACTAATGATAGAACTTAGGATATTCTACCACCAATAATATCTCTGTAGTCTTTTTCATCTTTTAATACAGGGTCTCCCTAATTTGCCCCGGCTAGACTCAAACCAGTGATCCTCCTGCCTCAGCCTCCCAAGTTGCTGGGATCCCAGGCATATGTTATTGTACCCAGCTATAAGCTTTAATTTTTTAAGCCAAAATATCAGAAATTTTAAGTAAGAGTTTATAATACAAGTGCTAATGTGATCTAAATTACTACATGCTATAAGATTATAGTTAAGGGATAGTTTTATTGTGAGATAATTTGCTTTCCAAGAAGATAATATTCAGGGGGTAAATATTATCAAATTAGAGAACACTATAATGCCAGTTTGGGTACTAATCATTATATGCTATTAAATGTAAGTAGTTTTACATTTGTTACATAGCATTTGCACTCAAATATCCATTTTGGGAAAAATATAATAATGCCTACTTTAAAGAGCATCGATAATATTTATAAACAGTTTATTCAGATAAACTACATTCTGATTCCAGTACATCTCCCATGAGCCTATCTCAGTCACTAATTGTGATTTCTATTTTCTAAATGAAGAATGTTATTTCTAAAAGTTCTCAGAACATCACCTAAGTTTTGCCCATTTAAAAACATAATTCCCTGTGCTGTGGCTGGGGCTCAGCAGTAGAGTGCTCGGCTCTCGTGTGAGGCCCTGGGTTTGATCCTCAGCACCACATAAATAAAATAAAAGGTATTGTGTCCACCTACAACTAAAAAAAAATATTTTTAAAAATTAAAAAAATAAACCCCTACAGATTTTTTCATTTTTTCCCTTTTTCTTTCTAACAAAATGCTTCATTTTAGCAGTTGAAAAAGTTTGTAAAGTTTCAATATGTAGACCTAACTCCCTTGTCTTCCTATTTACCAGCTTATGACTTAAAAATACACTGATATTATAAAATGAACTGTATTTATAATCCACAAGTTAAAAGTGTGTATAGGATGGCTGTGCATGCAATTCAGTGGTAGAGTACAAACTTGTGAGGCCCTGGGTTCAATCGGTAGTACTACCAAAAGGGGGCGGGTATAGGAGTAATGATAACCTTACAGAGAGGGATTTAATAGATGTGTAGCAATTCTCCATCACTATCAAAGACAACAGAATTGAAATAGTCGGGGTGAAAAGAGTAGCATCTGCACCAGCCCAGGATATAAACATCGTGGTATGTTTGAGGAAGTACTGGTAAAGGTATAAGTAAAGCCAAACATCTGAGAGGTAGAGGTTGGAAGAAATGGGAGATTAAGACCAGAAAGTAGGCCTGAAGAGTTTATATGCCATATTAGGGATCTTATAACTTACCATTAGTAATGGGGAGTCATTGAAGAGAAAACATAGAAAAACAGAATTTTATCTCCCATAGACCCTTCTGAAGTGTCATAGAGGTGGAATACATGGGAAAACTCTAGAGGCAAGGAGACCAGCTTGGTTCAGAAACTGTTGGAATTGTACTTGCTGTGCAAGATGGTGCATGCCTAAACTATGTCATTGGGGATAGAGCAAATAGAATCAAGAAATAGAAAATGAAATTGCCCAGATTTGGCAGTTGTTTGCATGTAGGGAGTAAAGGGAATAGAAAATATCTACAGACAGACAAGAGGGGGTTTTGAGATAAAAAGACCATTTTAGGAGAACTGAAATGTGAAGGAGGAATCTGATCTAGGTCTTCCTTCTGCAGAAGGGGCTAAATGTCTCCAGCAGAGGCATAGGGTGTAAACAATACAGTATTACTAATTAAAAATTACCATACTAGACATTAGATACTCGATCTCACTCATTTTTTTAACTGAAAATTTGTATCCTGTGACCAAAATTTCCCCATTTCCCCTACCCTCAGTCCGTGAAAATAGCCCTTTTACGCTGTTTCTATGAATGTGATTTTCTTCAATTTCATTTGTGAGACCATGCAGTATTTCAGGGGCCTAACTTATATCACTTAGCATTAGATTTATCCATGTTGTCTCAAGTGACAGGATAGTTTATTTGAAATTTGATAAGAGAGCAGATGTTTAGTGATCCATATACTATGGTAGCTACATTCATTAATTTGATTATGAAATTCATGCAGTGTATATCATTACATTGAATACCTTGAATACATACAATTATGTCAAGTAAATATTTAAAATATTTAGTAAATAGCCTCTCCAGAAACATAGCCTTGAAGTATATCCAAGAGGGAAAGATAATTTTCCTATCTTTGTTCCTTCGTTCAGGTCCACTTCAAAACTCAAAAGCTTTTGTTTATTATCCTTCTACGCATCCCTTAAAAAATCATCCGATGCAGGAATCCAGATGTTAATTAAGTTAGGTTTTGCAGCCCATAAGTCTCTATTGTATTTTCTCAACTCTGCCATTATTAGTGCAAAAGCAGCCATAGACAATAGGTAAATGTGACTGAGTTCCAATAAAACTTTACATATGAAACCAAGCAGCAGTCTGGATTTGATTTGTGGGCAATAGTTTGTCAGCTCTTGGTCTAACCATTCACCTTGTGTGTACATCAAGAAGAAAAATGAAATCCAGAAAAACCTTAAAAGTTTTTTTTTTTTAAATCAGCATATGTCTTAAGACCTTTAATGACTCTCTTTTACCAATACAATAGAGTGCAAGCTCCTGAGCATGACAGGGATCCTGATCTGATAGTGAGGCAGCAGATTGTATTTCCATTGGTATATACTAATGAATGTTTTTATATTCTCAACAGTCTGAATGCCTAATAATGAACTTGGTCAAATGATTCCATCTTTGGAGGGTAGACCTGAATTGATATATAGAAATAGAGGGAGAAGGGCTGGGGGTGTACCTTGGTGATAGAGTGTATGCCTACCATGCATGAAGCTCTGGGGTCAATCCCCAGCAATGCAAAAAGAAAAAGAAAGAGAAAAGCCATAGAATTGTGAAAAAGCCACTTTTTAGAAGATCATGCATATACATACTGGTCAAGTATTATAACTATATGAAAGAAAATTTTAAGAGTACCACTTAATTTTTTTAGATAGTTCCTGAAATGCCCATATATTTTAAACTGATGTCTAATCTAAATTATTTTGTTCCTTCATTCTTGGCCAGGCTGAAACAATTTTCCAGAGTATATGCCCCAATGAAGACTTCTGTCCACCCCCACCAAATCCTGAAGATATTGTCCTTGATGGAGACAGTTCACAACCAGAATCTTCAGAATCCAGTGCCATTCTAGAAGCCAACTCAGAGATTCCCGCAGAAACTACAATCCTGGGAAACCCAGAGGAGACCTCTGAGTAAAGGCTATATACCAAACTCAATACTCCACTTTGGAAATTCCCATGGGCTCCACAATTTTCTTGACGTAAAAAAACTTTTAGAAGTCAGCAGCCAGTTGACATGCAGAATTATAAGAAGCAACAGGTCAAAGAAATCCATAAGGGAATTTTCCTTAAAAGAGGACATTCCAGTAACACAAAGCACTTATAAAGCACATTGACTTACATGCCTATTTTAAATACAAAAACCTATGAAATTAACCAGATAAAAATTATAAATGAACTGATTCCTGGGAATATAACTATGGATTTAAAAGTAATCCTATGCATTGTTAATAATTTTGTGGTGTTAGGACAACTTCTTTTTGCCACTTTGGATCTTTTTTAAAAGCTACACCTTCAGAATCAGCTCACATATCTCCTTTGATTATTTATTAAAATTACAGATGTGAGCATATGACAAAACATAAAAGCATATGTAAATTCAGTGGAGAAAAACTGAAGCATCAAGATCCAGGCCAAAGTATGTGTTTGGAATAAAAGTTTGTTTTCTGTGTTGACAACAATATAAAATGCCAATATTAAGATATTTAGGCACTTTTACAGACAAACCTTAAATCCATTACTCAGTAATGTTTTAAAATATTAGTAATAATATTTATATGTGAATCTTCTACACACTGGAAAAAGCTCAATCATGAAGTATTGAAAGAATAAAAGAAAAGGTTTAGATAGGATCCCTGATATTTGGAAATTCTATGGCATCAAGTAACTGGAACACTATCCTAATTGTCTACAGACCTAATTTAGTCAGAGCTGTGCTACTGATAGTAGGCAAATTGTTTTATCTTCTGAAACTAAATCTCAATATGTAAAGAAGAAACAATAATCTGCCTATTATGTGACAGTGCTTATGAAGATGAAAGCAATGCCATCCTTAGACTGTTTTATTCTGGAAAATTTTGTTTCAGAATTTTCTCATTGACTTGGGACTGAATATCAAAAACCCTGTGCAGAAAATAATTGCTTGTCATAAAAATAGATCATGTTTTTGTATTAAGCTTTTTAAATGAATATTTGTGTCTGAACTTAGTATTTAGTACTCTTTATAGACCAGTAAACATAGTAACACATGGATTTCTAATTTTGAAATATAAGTAAGGCAAACACTCTGTAAATTCTTCATATTCCTTTTCTGATAGGTAGGCCTGAAACCATAAAGGTCTCTGAATAGAGTGTAACATTTGGTAAACCCTAATACACACTCCAAATAAATATGAGAGTGTATACATAGGCAGCAAATCTACATACAGCAACAGTGCCTGCATTTAAATTTTCCTAATGCCAAGCTCTGATGGTTTACTTCTTTTGAGCAATAGTTTTAACTTAGAACTGCTTGTAAATAAATAGACAGACTTGAAGCCTCTTGTCACATAGTTTGGCTTTTATTGCCTCTCAGGGAGCTATGGCTCCAGTGGAAAGCACATAGTTCTTACACACTTCAGCTGCAAATGGTCCCTGACCTCCTCTTGTTCTGGAAAAGGTCTTGAAGCTAGTTGTGACAGTAATAGATTCGTGGGAAATGGAAAGAACCAAGGAATGTAGCTCTTGCTTCACCTTTCCAACCCCCACATATAGAGCTGAATCCAGAGGAAAGGAAAACTTTCTAGCCTCTCAGGCTGTTCCTGTCCCCTCCTCTCATTGTACAGCACCTCCCCTGTCTTATTTGCCCTCTCTTTCTCTCTTTTCCCCTTTTATAATGTCACACACAAATCAGGGACAGTAGAATCACATTATAACATAATATATAAGGATTCAGATCTTTTTTGAACTCAAATCATGTTTTTGAAGCCTAATTAGGACAATGCACTGAATGCTTAGTACATACCCATAAGTATACCAGGAATTGGTCCTGCCCTTCAATACCAGCAATATAAAAGCTTCTACTATATGAGAGTATTAAATATGAATATAATTGCAGTAAGTTGTACCACTCAAGATATTACACTTTTTTTGTAATCTTAGAGTTAAGGCTCTCCTGAATGCAGATGCACATTTATGTAAACAGACAATCAGGGTAGGCCTAATATAACTAAAAAAAAATATTAGATAGCCTTAATGCAGCTGTCTATATATAGAACAAGAAGCTAATTTGTACTCTCATGGCCCAGCCCACATTGTACCATATTTCATCTGTTCAACAATATCAGAGTCTCTCTTCCATGCCATTTACTAAATAACATAGAAATGTTTAAAAGCTCCTGAGTATGATTTGTGATGAATACAATACTACACAACTGCTAAGAACCTTATTACAGAATTCTAGCTATTTCTGGTTGCCTCAGAATGTAATAGATATTATTTAAGAGCTTTCTCTTCAGTTATCTTAATACTTAAAGTACTTGTTTCTGTAGATATTAAATCGAAGTAAAAAATTTTGATTTTGTTGCAAAACTTTAAACATGAAGGCATAAGAATAAAATTTATGTACATAATTAGAAAAAATTCAGTAGCTAATTAAAAAATTTGAAAAATTTTATTAGACTTGAATATTTAAATATTTACTTGTGCATGCTTATTAACCAAAAATGATATATATTCAGTTTAATGATTCATAAGAGCATTAATAACTAATGCTTCTGTATTTTATTTCTAGTTGGTGTGCCTGCCCAAGAAAACATAATTATAATGAAGGTCAATTTATATATTTTTCTATAGTGAAATGGCCAGTTAATGGGTAACTTCTAGAATAGTGGTAGTTTCTCAGATTGGCAATCATTTGTCCAAAATAATAGCCTTGATTATTTAATTTTATTATTGATTATAATGATTTATTCTGTCAAGGCCAAACTTTCCTGGATTGGCTGCCCCTGGTCTAAACTCCTGAAAAATTCCAAAACAATTGTTTAGAATTGATAAATAGAAGTGATCATTAAAACTTAAATTGTAATTCTGCAAATCAGTTGTTTACTGCTACCAGTATTGAATAATTTGTCTTATTCTCAGTAAATTTTGTCAAATTCCAAAAAGCATGAATCTATATATATGGTCATTTATAATTTGTATACTGTAACAATTTTCAGAGGAAATAAAGACTTCAATGCCTTTCAGGTGTGATGTCCAATTTTTTTCATATGATTTTTTATATATACCAATAAAGGTTGTCTTTTTATAATTAGCCAATTATTTAAATATTAAATTAACTGTCAGATGTATTTTTGGTTTTGTTTCCAGGCATCTGCCAACATTATTGTTTTAATCAGCTTTTTTGCTGTCATAACCAAAAGACCTGACCAGAACCATTAGAGAAGGAAAAGTTTCTTTGGGGGCTGACAGTTTCAGAGGTCTTAGAAAATAGATAGTGAGCTCCATTTCTCATGGCCTGAAGTGAGGCAGAATATCATGGCAGAAGTGCCTGGCAGAGGAAAGTAGCTCAGGATATGGCACTAGGAAACAGAGAGTCTCCACTTGCCAAGGACAAAATATATACCCCACAGGCATTCCCCAAATGACCCATCTCTTCCAGTCACATCCTACCTGTCTATAGTCACCACCCAGTTAATCCCTATTTGGGGAGTAGTACACTGATTAGGTTAGGAGTCTCATAATCCAATTTTTCACCTCTAAACTTTCTTGCATTGTCTCACACACAAGCTTTGGGGGATACCTCATATCTAAGCCATAACAAGTTTGTGATAAAGGCTATCAGATGATACATGGATTTGATTCACTTAATCAATTGTTCTAGCTGTTAACATTAATTCTTTATAAGGCAAAGGTGGATGAAACTTGAATCTGTTTGAAATCAGTGCTGTAAAGGTTTTGAGATGTTTCCTATGACTTTAGAGTACGTAGATTGTTTACAAACTTTTCATATCTCTGAGGAAGAGAATCTGAAATGTTTTTTTCATATTTATTTGATGATAAGAACCTGAAATATTTTTCTCTGAAGTGGTTGAGGCTCCAACAGCTTACTTGCAATATTCAAGAGATTGCTGATGATCTTTTAAAGCAGAAATCATTCATTGATGATTTGTTTTTGAATCAAATAATTAAGCAGACATTCTCTGTCAATTCCACAAAGTGTATAATGCTCTTTAGCTAGAATGGTTTCTAAAGATAACAGGACTCTTTCAAAACTGGCAATTTATCTGAGATATTAATAAATCAAGTTTGTGAAAGATAAGGTTAATTGAATTTTTAAACAAGTAGCTGTATTATCCTTCAAGCACCTTGGAGCTCATACAGTATTCACACTTTTTTTAAACAAGTACTTTGATATGTTTGAATTCTCCTTTAATGATAGCTTTTTTTAAAACACAATTAAGTAGTTTAACTCTTAGCATCCCAAATCACATTTTGAAGGCCACTTTTCTGTCCATTAATGTACAATTTTAGCTAAGGGGCTGCAATTGTGATGTCCTTGCCATATAAGTCACTACGTCTGCCCTTTCTGGTGATGATGACTCTTAGGACCATTTGACAGGTAATCATTAGAACTTGGATCCTAGTACACTGTAGGGCCTTTTTGCCTATCACTGCAGGAGGATTTATGCTGGTAACTCCTATTAATGTTAATAGGACTTGCATGTGTAAAACCTCCTGCTATCAATGAGATAGTTGACCCCTAAAAGAAATATTAATTAGAGATGGATGTTGTAGCTGATATAGAAGCATCAGTGAATTGTCCTATTTGGGACTTTCAGGTGGGTAAAAAAATAGAGTGTACCAATTCTGAGAATTTGTAGAGTTTGAAATAATAAAAAAACTAGATCTTAAGGATCTATCCCCATTTCTAATATATATTAGAAGTTACTGAACATTTAAATGTTCAAGCCTACAATCTAACTCTGCACTTATAGGCTTTATGGTGCTAAGAGAGAATGAAGGTAAAATGTATAAAATTATACAGAACAAATGCCCCGTTTTATCAACAATGAACTGGCACAGGAAAAAAAATGAAGGGAGTGCATTTCCATATGAAAGGGGACCTCTCTAAGAGGTCAAACAATTGCAATATGCTGACTTCATTGGACCCTTGTTATTCAACAAAGAAAATTTTTTATAAAAGCAAAGAACATACCCTTTTGAGATACTCAGAAGGAACTGAATATTGATGAATATATCCATGCGTTCATATAATTAATGTTTTGTGTGTATGTGTGTTTAGTAAGAACAATTTTCTTTTAGCAAGTTTCATGTATATAATATAGTATTGTCAACTATAGTCACCAGGCTGTATATTAGATCATTTCACAATGTAGACCTACATGAAAACATCACATCAGAAGAATGAGAAGTTATACTCCATTTATATATGATGTGTCAAAATGCATTCTACTGGCATGTATAATTAATTAGAACAAATTAAAAAATTATATCAGTAACCATGGATATATACATTTTGTAATTGTCAAATATACCTGTTTAATAAAATTAATATTTCCCAGTTTTGTCCAATAAATGTATATAGTTTGTTACCAGCATTTTAAAATGAAATTTATTTTAACTAATATGAAAACACAAAATTTCTCACTATTGGGGTAACATGAAGTTTTGATAAATGTGTACATTGTGTAATCAGGTTAAACATAGTTATCTTCTCAAACACTTATCATTTCTTTATGCTGAAAAAAAAATTCAAAATTCCTTCATCTAACTTTTTGGGTTACACTGTACACAATTGCTATCTATAATTACCTTAATGTAAAATAGCACAGCAGAGCATATAAGTACTCATTCCCCATACCTTTCCCACTGTTCTACTCTCAACTTCTATGAGGTTAACTTTTTAGATACCAAATATGAGTGAAATTATGTAATAGTTGTCTTTCTGTGCCTGGCATATTTCAAGTAACAATGATCTTCAGTTGCATCCATGCTGTGGCAAATGACAGGATCTAACTACTTTCAGGGCTGAATAGACATATATATTACATATATATATCTCACTTTTTTATCCATTCATTAGAAAATGAACATTTAAGTTTTTTCCATTTCTTGGCTTATATGTATCTTGTTGAATAAATGTGGAAATGAAAATGTGTCTTCAATGCACGGATTTAATTACCAGATTATACCCAATAATGGGATTGCTGGATCATATGGTTGTTCTATTTATAATATTTTGAGGAAAATCCATACTATTTTCCATAATGGGTGTACTGGAATAAGACTCTCAAAATGTTTGTACTTAGATTCAAATGTGATTTAAGGTTTTGAAGAAATATACCTAATGTGTGGAAACCATTAGCATAACATGATAATATTTAAACTAGTTTTACAGATAGGTAAGTGTATTAAGCAGAAAATATATCTAAGTTCTATACTTTAAGGAACTTAGAATTCTTAATTCAGCAATGGGCAATGTACCAGAAAGTGGTTTCCTTTGGTTAAGCTTATGCAACAGAAAAACCATATTTCTGCAGAAATTAAAACAGCTCTCTATTAATCTTCATTACAACTAGAGAAATTGCCTACAGGAAGTGTCATTCATTTTCTAAATCTGAACTTGAAAATTGTAGGGACAGTCAGCTGACCTTTGAATAACATATATCTTTCAAGATCTTTTGAATATAACTTTGCCTATTATACTTCAGATGCTAACACATTTCTGGTATGACCTAATCTTAAGAGAACACACTCTCTAAGTGGATCTAGATTTATAAAGTACAGTAGTGGGGAAGATGACTGTGCCCATTAAAAAGTGGTTCTCTTCTTTACCAAGGATTTCAGAGTTTTTCAAAGAGGAATTCCTAGGAGTTCCCAGGTGGTACATGTTAGCACTTCACATTATTAACTTCTAGACAGAGGGAGGTAGGTGTGGTACAATCCAAACACTGTCAAATGAAGATCAAATAGAAATGAAAGCCATTTCGATATAATTAATGAAGTAAAGTGGAATCTGTGGATTGCCAAGTCTGATTTGAACACAACTTTGCAGCAATACATTTTTGAAATAAAATGTGTTTTACTTAAAGTGAAGAATATCTGGGGACTGCAGATCCTTCTTTGTAGTAGATCTCGTGTATTTATCAGATTTCTCCAACAATGCTATGTGAAATTTCCATTCAAATATATCTCTGTAACACTTGATTCATATGTTCCATTAATACTATATGGTTAAATCTTCTTGACGACAAGATTATATAGCAAACAGTTGTTTTTGTTTCTCCTTTTTTCTTGGGTGTATAAAAGTAAGTTTTAAAACTAGGGATTTAAGATGTGATATAAACCTTATAAATTAAAAAAAATGTAGATCTTTAATAATACCTGGGAAAGTTGCCCAACTAAGGACAAAGTCAGAAATGAAAAAGGGAATAATATCTTCTGGAAATGTGAAATAATCCTGAGTATTCAATACGTACTTGAGGAGGCTAAGTAGAGCCAGGCATGGGATTGAAAAGCTATGGTTCTTGGTATAGGATCCTGGATAACCTCTCCCGATGGGATATTGGAGTGATTTTTATGGCCCCTACAGCACCCCTACCTTCACCTCTTTCACTTTCTGGATAGTCAGTAGTATGGAAATATAGCATCAGGAGCACCTTGGCAGGCTATAGTAGAGTCAAGGTGGACAACGGTACAGCCTACGCATAATCCTATTTTAGCTCCATGCGTTTGTCACACTAAGGGAATTTACACTCTTTCTATTATATATTTATATAGAAAAAACATGTCACATGGAACAGTTGCAAACATATTCAAAAAACAGATCTCTGAGTATCCCTACCATACAAAGATGAAGACATGGGATGAAACCTAATATTTGAAAAGAAGAAAAACAGAGAAAATTAAAGAGCTGGAGGAAATTTTAAAAGTCCATTTACTTTGAGTCCAATATCTTGATTTTGCATATGGGGAAACTGAAACTGAAGCTAAAAGTGGTGAAATTTTTCTCAAATATACTGCAATGTGGCCTTTAAAAACGTGGAGTTACAGAGAACTAGAATCAGATACACATCTCTTCACTTCTTAGCTATAATTTTGGCAAGTTGCTTCAGCCACACAACTTCTCAGATTCTTTGTTTATTTGATGGGAATAAAGAGGGCATCTGCTCCATTGGATTTTTGTG